TAATTAATAGGACGTATAATGCGGTTTTCGTTAACCAAGGAAAACTGTACTGCGACTACGATAAAAACTATTTAAGAAGCTTTTTAATGAATTTTAAAATTTGATAAAAATTTTCTCTCCAGTCGTGAAAATAGGAGAATTTTAAGCTTTTATTGTGTGTATTCTATTATTTTATATGCTATGCAATAGTCAGCAAAGTTAATATTCAAATGATAGCGCCACCTATGAGACAGAGATAGAACTAATTCTCACACAATAATATTTTTTTTTTTTTTTTTTTAATTAAAGTTTACCTGCTTACCCTCTGTGTAAATTCAGCATATACCCTTGCTTCGATGCCCCAACATGGCGACATTCTATATGTTATCTTATGCAGAATTTTGGAGAGTACTTGATATTATCACGACAGCTTGTTGATTGTGTTAGCTAAGATAAGACGGTGTTTAATATCAAGCCATTTTATGCATCAGTATGAGTTTCGTCACTAAAGAGTGGTGTTCTAATTTTTTGCTTCCCAAGTATGTTTCTGTTTTGTTGTTTCAAACATATGTAATTTGTCCTTTGCTATTTCATAATTTTGTAATTTTATTTTTACTTCAATAATTTTCACTATTTTATTTAAATTTTTTAATTTAAAATTTTTTTTTTTTAACAAAAATTTTTTTTTATTTTTAAGTTTATTGTTTTCCTTCGCACTTTCTTATGTTTAGTTTTTCCTGTGACTTTAAATATTTGTCTTAGTTATATTTGAATTTTTTTATCAAAAGTAAATTTTTGTTTCTTTTTTAATTCTTTTTGCTTCCTCTCATAAACGTAAATTTTACTTTTATTTATACACTTTTTATTTTTATTTTATGTTTAAAAGTTTTCCGTAAGTTATTCTACATTTTCCTTTTTTTTTTTTTTTTTTTTTTTTTTTTTCCGAAGATGTAAATTAATTCTTCCAAAATAAGTTTCTATTTTTCCCAACCAATAAGCATATCTAAATCTTAGTATTATTTCTTATACTTTTTGACAATAAATATGCATATCTGAACTGAATTTAGATTTTAAGAATATGACATTTTTTCATGCTACTTATTTTTCAAAAAATCTGAAAAATATCTTAAAACGAAAATACATAATATTTCTCCATATAATGTAAACTAATGTGCATGTTTCGTGATAGTAGGAAAACAAAATTTATATTACAGCGTAATGTGTAACCTTCGAACTGTTTCCAAATAAAAAAAATAACACCTCAGCATTTGACGGTATTTTAAAAAGAACACTCCTAATCCATTACAGGAAGAAGAGCGGGCTTGTTCAAGAATTCTGTGTCTCAGTGACAGATCTCTTTTACCCAGTATATGACAATACAAATCCTTCTAATAGTTTTTCCAGAATTCAGAAAATACGACTATGTGTAAGTACTGCCATGTCTCCATACGCGTTGATTCGGTATTCATGGTTTCAGTTATCCGCAATTTACAGCGATATACAGAAAAATTTCTTAAATTCCTAATTAGGCGCCAAAAGACAGTGGCTGGTACATGCTGAAACACATTACCTGAAAACACACGTAATTTAGTTGACTTCCCATTAAATCTCAGACATGAAAATGGTATGTATGATATACTTTGCATTATTTGATGTACTAGTACAATGTTATAATGCAGTGCTGTGTATAATATACACTGGTTATCATAAATTAAGGAAAAATCACAAAAATCACGATTACTCAAAACGTTACATGTAGAATTTAATGAAACTTACCCACAATATACAACACATAATAAAGTATCAAATAACACAAAAAGAAATTATCAGACAAATCGGTAGTATAAAAATTAGCACATGTATAAATACAATACGAAGTGTCATCAGTTTGCTATAGGAAAAGTACCTTCAATATGGAATAAGATCGCCTCTAGAAGCAATACAGCACATACAGCGATGTGTGATGCTTTCAATTACGCGGTCTATCAGTTCCATAGGAAGGGAGAGTGCAAAGCAGTTGCAAGCGCAACAAGGGTCTGAGGGGGCGGACTAAGAGCAGCTAGACGTCTCCCTAAAGCATCCCGAACGTGCTCGATAGGATCCAAGTCCGGTAATCGAGCTGGCCACTCCATGCGCATAATTGTTTTCTGTTGAAGATAATCATCTAAGATGCGAGCCCTGTGTGGTCTCGCGTTGTCGTCTTGTAACAGGAAAGCATCACCTATTGCCCGGCATATGGGCGCACATAAACATCAAGGATGTCATCTCTATAAATCTGAGCATTCACGGTTTCCCTTGGAAAGACATGGAGGTCTGTGCGTCCACCCAAAGAGATGCCACAGCAAACACAGACACTGCCCCTTTCCATGTACATCTCTTTCACGGATGCTTGACGGATGATAACGGGTTCTAGGTTCTCTCCATATCAAATAACGCCTACTATCGCTTTCTAGACTAAACCTGGACTCATCCGTAAATAGAACCGCCCGCCATTGATCAGGCGTCCAGTGGACATGTTGTCGTGCCCACTGAAAACGGTCCCTCCTATGGCGTGACGTGAGCGGTACACAAATGGCTGGTCGCCTCGTATACAGACCACCTTCGTGAAGCCTTCCACTTATGTTTGACTTTGTTCTGCCTCTAGTCTTCCAGTGGCTTTCTATCTTAGTTCTGTAGGCAAATGATGCCTGGAGATCATTGTTACGAATTGGCTATCTCAGATTTCTGATGTCACTATCACAGTGAAATATGTGGGCTTGCTCTCAAACATGGACTTTTATGCTCCTCGTAGATGACGTATTCCGACTGCAGCGCCACTAATTTGCATATTGCAGTTTATTCAGCTACTCTTACTTGCCTCCAACCAACCACCACAACAGCTACTCTTTCAAATTTTACACGGTTTGGCTTATTTTTGAGGGAGTTATCGCTATTTTTGTGATTTTTCCTTAATTTATGATAACCAGTGTAGTTTATTTAATTTAATTGGCAGTGTGTAATTTACCAATTAAAACTCAATCTGTGAATGCGCGGTGTCCACTAAGCCCTTACTGAAGCTTTTAGTTTGTCAACCGTTGGTTGTAGACATACGCTTCCAACTACAAAACTGCTTTAAATGACGCAAAGATTTATGTTTTAATATTTTTAAGTTTTAAAAAATTAGCTTCGTATAAACGAAATCTAGCTTTCTACAGGTATCTACGGTTCCTATACTTATATTTAGGAAAATTTTAATATTGGCAACTGGACATTAACTGGATAACAGCGGTTACCTCTTGTCCAATTACCGTTCAAAACTTAAACAAAGGATATCATTTCTTATAAATACCCTTTTGCTGAAATGCGCAATCGCGTTTTTACGCTCTCTTGCCCTGCTAGTGCGTCTCTCGTTGAATCACTGTATCACTTCTTGTCTAGAAATGTAATAAGTTGTAGGTAAAACTGTTTATTTGTTATACAAAATAAAACACAAAATGTTTGACTCCCATACAATAAAAATTGATCGAGGTATTTCAGTTCGAAATTTGCAATATTTAACGTAATTTTTAATTTGTAATGAGGGGTTCCCTAATAAATAAATTAAAGCATTTCAAGGTTGATTTTTTTTTTTCCTTTAAATGACATTCAGTGATGTTCTTTTGCGATTTATTTGTATATTTGTTCTTTACTTAAAATGTTTCACAAACAATAATCAATCAACAAATGGATTGTATTCCTTCACTTTTATTTATTACACTAATTATAAATAATATGTCAGCGATGCGACATAATTGATACAAAATAAGCGAGCCATTCTACATGGTTGTCACAAACACAATTCTATCAATCAATTATCTTGTTGCCACACATAAAGTTCAAAACTAAAGGAGGAAAAACAAAAGAAATTTACGCTGTTTGCAACAATAAAATGAAGCAAACGATACTCACATAAACAATATTCATTTATAATTTTGTTACAAATCCTATTCTGGTTATTGTAAAAAAATTCGTTAGATTTCTTTTCATTTTAAAGAATGCAAATAATATTACAATTTGAATACGCGCCAATACTAAGGCCTACCAGTTTCCCTTAAAGCTCGAATTCTGTAAGTTTCTGTTAATCAAATCCCATTTTAAAAGAGAAGTATATTTATCAATATTTTTGAGCAATAATCTTACAGAAATATGCTCAAAATATATGATTAATTCACGATCTAATATGTTTTTGTTCTTATTTTTTTCATTTTATTTTGAAGTATAACGTAACTGAACTATTCAATACTTTTAGAGAGGGGTTTCTAAACCTAGGGCTTATGTATCATTAATGGTTTATTACATTATATTTGGTGGTACGGGTTTGACACAAAATATTAACATTAATGTTTAAAATGAACGTAAAGATCGAAAATATAAAGAAAAGTAAATATTTTGTGATTCAGTTCCATGGAAGATCAGACGTAACCAGATTTGCACAGTTGATAGCTTATATTACAAGGTATTTCTCCCTCCTTTCTGCATGTTTGGTGGTGTAATGGTTAGCACACTCGGCGCGTATTCGAGAGATCGAGGTTCGAGCCCGGCGAGAGCATTGCTCATTTTTCACGTTTCCTGCTTTAAAAAAATGCCTAATGACTCTACAATATTCGATTTGAAAGAGAACAAGTCCCAGATGAAAATTTTTATTTTGAGAGCCTCATCCAAATTATACCACAGCGGATAAGATTTTCAAGAAAATTTACTAGTTTATCGCTAGTCATGAAAGAAACTGGAAAAAATTGTAGAAGTGTGCTGACGGCATACATTCTGGTGGTGGTACTGGTGGTGGATTTCCGCCAACATTAAAAAAAAATTTCACCAGATGCAAAATTTACACATTACAGCATACACCAAAACTCTTTTTTTTTTTGTGTGTTTGTGTGTGTGTGTGTGTGTGTGTGTTATGCTTTTGTGGCTTGGCCTTTCTCCTCATAGCCATATGGCAGGTTTCGCCCGCTAGGTGAGCTGGGGGGCCAGTGCTTAGAACTAACTAACTAACTAACACCAGGAAGCTGTCAATACAATGACCACAGGACTCAAGAATTGTTTCAGATCTATCTCTGAAGATATAGAATTTTGAGCTCTTACATTATGACTGTTTACAGCTGTGCGGAATGAAATGTTTAATAACCATATAAGGTATATTCTCCCTCAATTCTGCATGCCTTGGTGGTGTAACGGTAGCACACTCGGCGCGTATTTGACAGGTCTAGGTTCAAGTCCCGACCAGGGGATTGCCCAATTTTCGCATCTTGTGTTTAAAAAAAGCTACTTATCATCTGGAACACCACAGCTTCCCTCCTCATTCTGTAATACAATCCTACTAATGCCCTTGTAAAGCCATGCACTTTCCTTTCACAACCTCAATAATCTGCTGGTGCAGCCTCGTGTGGCTCCAGGAAGCTTTTGCTGTAGTTAGAGGAGGGCGTGGGACGCATGCGTGTTTACCACCTCTGTTAGACACCAGGCGTCCCCGTCCTCCGTAACCTACCTACCTACAGCTACAATACGCTCATTTTAAGCA